AGAATCGATACTCAGCCAACTGCGCAAATAGCAACAAATGATCAAGCAGGATATATTGGAGAACCTATTAATCCATCTTTGACTTATTGCGTCAGATCTTTGCCACCTACTTCATACCGTATCTTGCATCTAATTGTTCACGCTCTTTTTGGAGCGTCTGCTCCTCAGCCTGCTCTTACCTTCCTTCGGAAAAATAATCAAACTGTTTCAGATGCTGAAAGGTATTGCATGGATCATATTCAAAACGATTGGAAAGTTCTCAAGCAACTTCTTAATTGTAATCATGAGGTACAAAAAAAATTAACAATTTTATATTTATTTTTTTAAAATTTTTTTTTTTTACCATCTTTTAAAATAACTAAAAACTTATAATTTAACCAGAGATTGGCGTTAATGTTCCATTCGTTAATTTCGTCTATGACGGAAAAACCCCCATCGAATCAACCAATTAACACACCTGTCGATCGGGATAACTGGGAAGTTGCATTCCATAGAGATTATATTGCGCCAAAGATTAAAAATATAACTGAAACGGAAGCAGATTATCGTACGAAATTAAATGCGGCATTAGCCAAAAGTCAAAAGATTAATATTATTGAGGGTGAAATCAATCAGACTTTAGCGATGGACAAACAGTATCGAATTGAAAATTTACCAAGTTTATGGAGAATGATTGGAGTGAATAACTTTGATAGTTTCCGTGCTTATTATATGAGTGATGTGGCAAAAAACAAGAAGAATTATCCATTCTTATCAGTATTTTTCAAATACATTGGACAATTAGATTTACTTCGACACCTTTTGCCTATTGTAAAATTTGTACAACTTTTGCATTCCAAGCTTGGATATCACTTATCAAGACAAAAGGCAAGAGATTTGACCTTCAGACAATTTATAGAACAGGAATCTAATGATGGTGAAAATCGTGAAATGTTCAATAGCTTGAAGACAGCCTTTAATGACTTTAAACTTGGGTGGGATACAGTTATATATTATGTTCGACGATATCAATGTCATGAACTTCCAAAAGACAAACCAATCATGAATTATGAACTTCCAGTTGTTTTTGGTTTAATGGAACCGAAGGATACAGGAATTTTCTTATGCGCAATTTTAGACTATTTAGTAAATTTACAAAATAATTTCTTGCAAGAAGTCGTGGCAATTCCACCCGGAACTTGTAGATCTCTCAAGTTTTTAGATGAACCAACCTTTGACGTTGAACTGACTTCCGCGTCGACTTCGGCTCAACCAAACACCCCTAACGGATATTACCTACAATCTATGCGTATTGATCATGTTAGGTCCGGAAATATTGTAAACTTTGAATGGGATGACGAAATTCTTGCATATTGCCAAAGAAATCTGGCAATCGCAAAAGGACAAGATATTGTTTACGATTTAACAAAAATTGAGGTAGAATTGGCAAATATTCTGGTTTTTGAAAAAGTTCATATTGAAACACAACCAGAATCTCAATTATATTTAGAACCTTTCCCATATCACATGGAATTGTTCCATGGATGTATGAGAATTCTTAGTGATATCAAGCATTTAGTACCACAAGAACCAATCCCAATTGAAAAACTTAGTTTATTAGGTGCTTCTAGTTCATTAATATATCCACAACAAGAGTCGACTTTAGATAACGCGTCCGAAGTTTTATCATCATTGGAAATTCTCTTGTGTTTTGTCAAACGAACTGCAGTCGGAGATAAAGAAAAATCAATTAAAGATTATATTCTACAATGGATGAGATTATCATCTTTAGTTGAGAATGCAGGATTCACAAAATTTTTAAATCTCGATTTACGACTTAAACACTTGGTGTCCTTATACGAATACGTTGAAGAACAAGTTGCGAATGTTAAAATTAAATATATTCACGAAAAATATAAAGTTCCACTTTCTGTAGAAATGGAAAACAATATATGTGAATCTGTAGAATTTGAACAACAAACTACAGTAAAAAACCTGATACCCGCAGAAGCATTTGCAGTGGCTTTAAAACGATTCATGTTAAGATTCTTAACTGTAGAGACTCAAAAAGAAATGGAGCCGTTATATATTTACTTACAAGACATTTCATTAAATTTCTGGCCTTCAACAATTCCAGAGAAAAGTATCGATGAATTATTCCCAGAAAATTTGATGGTGGCCAACACATTTGCTGCTTATGAATTTACGATGAACAAGATTGAGGTGATTGAGGTAAGAATATTTATTAAAATATTTATTTAAATTTTTTATAGTAAAAAATTTATTAATTATTCTTATTTTAATTTTTAGCAAAATATGAGAAGACAAGCTAATCTTTCTAGAAATTATCCAGTTATTAATCAACGAACGGCACCTGCAACTAGAAATGTTTCGACAAGGAAAGGCAAAAAAGGAACTTCAAAATTTGATGCAATGTAAATCGTTCACTATAACGTGCTTTTTAGTTTATAAATTTTAGATTAGTAACCTTTGATAATGTATTGATACTTAAATAAAACTTTTCATTTCTTAATAAAATTTTCACATGGTTTTTAATTGAAATAAAATGTTCAATATCATTTTATTATCACATTTTGTAGATCTTTGATAAACATCTTCACAAGCCACAGTAGCAATTCTCATTTTATAAAAAAAATGGAACTTACAAGCAAAGATTCTTTCAACCCGACACCAAAATTAAAACCTAGTTCAATACCAATTAATTTTGTTCCTTTTAATCAAGAAGCGTATAATTGCTTTCGTTGTGGTGTCGTCTATTGTGAAACACATTTATTTAAACAAAAATATTGTAAAAACTGTTTATTCTTGTATATTAAAAGTATAACCGATAGTAACACGTTTGAATTGGAATGTTATTGGGAACAGGTTGAATGCTTAAATATTAGATGTAATCAGCATAAAGCAAATAAAAGTTTGGATTCTATTACACGAAACGTTCAAGAATGGCGTAATGTTTGCTTAGATATTTCATATTTTGGACAGATTATCACAGAAAATTGCTCGGGTGGCCATTATATAGAATATATATTCGGAAATAGAATATTTTGTAAGTTATGTGGAAGAATAGTTTACGGAAATCTCCTAATCGTTGAGTTCAGGTTGTGCTCAGATTGTTACACGATTTATTTTGGATGGGTAGAATCATTATATAAAAAGCCTATACCAATCCTTTACTTACCCTGGTGGGATACTTTTAACAAATGTTTAGGTTGTCAGCTAAACTTGATTTTCATATCTGACTGTCAGAAATGGTGTCCAGGTTGTTATATAATTCACGCTGGATGCAGATATTGTTTAACGACAAATATTATTTTTGGATTTACCGAAAAGTCACAATGCAGTAAATGCAAAATATCATATAGATGAATTCCTGCATAGTTTAAAAGCCGACGTTAACATTAGCAATCATATTGTTGATTATATTAAAAATATGAAAATAGGTGTTAACCCATTAGGTGTTTACGATTTAATTAAAGAAAAGAATACCAAACCAAAATTAAAATTGGAGTGGATTTCATACACCCGATTTTACGAAAATAGCACAAAGTGATCATGGAACTATATATCGGGCAACTTGTAGCGATATACGTGATCATTCATTGAAATTTACTGTAGCTGCTTTTCCAATTAGAAAATATTCTTAAACGAGGTGATTTATTTGTTGATATTTTCATTATCAAATTTATCAATTAATTTTTTTTTTTTTTTCGATGGAAAAAATGTAAGTTCGAATTATCATTGTAATAAATTTGGTGATGTGACAGGTATTCTCCATTGTCATGGAATTACACAAAATCCCAATACAAATGAATATATGCTGGTAATGCAATATTCAAAAAGAGGAGAGGAAATCTATATGATAATTTACAATACGATATTGGATGGCAAGAAACAATACGAACTCTTCATGAAATTTCTTCCGGGGATTATATTTATTTTATTTTTATTTTTATTTTTTTTTTAAATATTAAAATTTTTATTGATTCCTTTTTTTTAGGCTTGAGGCCATTCATCATGCGGACTTTATACATTGTAATTTACACGGTGGGAATATATTGTATATTTAAGGTTGGAAAATTGGAGATTTTGGATTTTCACAGCCTGCAAATAATACTTTGCCAAGTAATGAAATATATGGAGTAATTCCTTATATTGCACCGGAGATATTTAATGGTGCACCATTTTCAGAAGAATCTGATATTTATAGTATGGGTATGACCATATGGGCATGTGCGTCAAGTCGGAAACCTTTTGCTGACATTGAACATGATCTGATTATTAAAATCATTAATGGAACATGACAAAAGATTCCAAAAGATACTCCTGAATGGTTGGCTAAATTAATGAGTGAATGTTGGCATTCTGATCCAAGTAAAAGACCTTCTATTAACCATGATCCTAACGACTTTTGAGCATAATTATAAGGATGATTCGCAGTATGAAAAAAAGCGACCAGCACCAACGGAATTTTCCGGACAACTTCCAAAAGTGGTTACAAGTAGAAACATTAAATTCTTTAATTTCTAGATCACCTATAAATTCGTCGATGAACTCAAGTATGATGAAACAAAATCAAGGTTTTTGACGGGGGTTTTTTTTTTTTAGAATTAACGATTATTTATTTAACTCTGAAAAAAAAAAAAAAAAAAAAAAAAATTTTATTTTTATGTTCCCAGAAAAAGTTTTTGAATGTTTTTAGATTTCTGTTTCAAGAAATTTATTTAAATTTATCTCGCCCTTTTAGCCTAAAAAAAAAGATTAAACAACATAAATTCATATATAAGCATGTGCAATTTTTTATAGCTTCACTTAAGAAGAATTTAAGTTCTAAAATTTGTATTTTTGATTGATGAAGTTAGAGAAATGTAACTTTGGTCACGTCATTCCTAAATTACCTTGTAATAACAGCCAAGTACGTGTTGCAATAAAATTTATTATTATTTGAATTTCGAAATCGTTTATTATATTAAAAAATAAAGTAAAATAAAGAAAACAAAAATCTATCTTCTTCTTGGTCTTTTATCAATTTGTCTTTGATGTTGTGATTTAACCCAATTTCTCCATTCCAAATAACCACATCTAAATCCTACATGTTTAAATTTAGGAAAAGCAGCATCTAATAACGTAGTTTTAGTTTGAAAATTATTACAAACATTAAAACCTTTATTATTTAATACATCAATCCTGGTAATGAATTCTTTAAGCCCTTTTAATTTCTCATCATCATTTTGATATAAAAATTCAATTTCATTAAAGTAAATTCTTGATAAAGAAATTTTTTGAGTTTTTAAAGAGTCCAACCAACATGAATGAGTACTTCCTTTATATTGAACCAATTCGAAATTTCGTAACTTTTTTTGACAAGAGACCAAGATACCCAAATCGATGGCACATTGAATGTGATCAAAGGATGATTCATGCCATAATGTACCCCCAAAATCCGCTGTCAAGTACTCCAATTTATTACAAATCTTACTTAAAGTATTCGAGAAATTATATAGATACAAAGCATCTTTTGATAATGACACGTGTCTCACATCCTTAAACATCTCTTTAATCGAAACTTCATTTAAATTATTAAAATTAAACGTATTAATGTTACTAAGTATGTCTGGATATTTCGTCCAACAATCATATTTAAAAGAATAATATTCCATACATCCGAATTCAAAATAATCAATTTTCGTTCCTCTACATGAAAATAATTCGAGGAGGCACCTAAGAATTATATCATGACAATATAATTCATCATATTCGATACACCATTTGATAACGTTTTTCGCTAACGTGTGGATTTGTAATTCTTTTAAATAGATGGGATAATTATACATCGGTTGATCATATGATGTGGGAGGTAATGTTATCCCATGATTGTAAAGGAGTTGTTTTTGTTCTAAAGATAAGCATGAAAGGTACGTGTTTATGGTTGATACTCTGTTCCCTGATGGATCAAAAAATGGTGCTAACCATAATAAAGGTAAGAAAGAATTACACCAATTTTTATTAACCAACATGAATGAGAGGAGATTTTTATTATATTCTTTGGAATGGGTAAATCGACCTTTTGGAAAGATTTCCTTAAATATTAACAACAATTCGTATGATAAGGACATCTTTTTAAACGTAACGTACGTATATTAATGAAATTTTGCGAAAAAAAAAAAAAAAAAAAAAATGTTTAGAGGAAGTAATTAGTTGGGTTAACCCATGTATTTAAAAGTTTTGAAATATGCAAGTAGTAAATCCGGAAATTTACTGCGTTTTAAATTCGCATATAAAAAAAATATATATTTTGTCATAAACGATAAAATTGGATAACCTGAGAAATTTCTAAATATAAATTTTTAAAGGAACTAATTAAAATACTCCGTTTTTTTTTTCTATTGACACATCCAAATAAACAAACAGTTGCACATATGATTTTTCGCTTTAAAACAAGATAATTGTTGAATTTTAATAAATAAACGAATTTTTTATTTTTATTTCATGTGAAGCATTACTTCAAATAACAACTCATTATTGTTTATATAAAGGCAGGCATTCTCGAAAAAAAGAAAAAAGAAATTTCTTGTAATTTAGAATACCATAAAATTATCACAAACAAATAATATGTATAAGCCTAAAAACGAAAGATTGATTATTCAAAATGAACCAGTGGTTAAGTTTAACCTTAACCATAAACTTTGCGAAAAAAAAAAAAAATAATAATAATAATAATAAATTTATTTAATTCAAACCGATAATAAATGAAAACGTGAAAAAGTAAGATCAAAATGCTCTTCTAAGCAAACTAGTTAAAACCGGATATAAAGTATTATCTTGTACAAATTCCAAAGCGCCATTTAATAAAATCAAATTTTCAGAATTAGGCACAATACAAATTTTAACATTCTTACTAAACTCCAATTTTTTAATTTTCTGCACCAAATAATCACATTTAAAAATGTTCCCAACAAAGAATATGACAGAATACTCAATATATTCATCTTCATCTTTAAATTTAGTATTAATAAATCGTTGCAATCTATCCGATAAAGGATCGAATAAATCTGCGATCAATTTCAAATCTAGTTCAATACACCATTTATTTAATTCTAAATTGGTTTTTAAATTTTCGTTTTTCAGTGATAAGAATAATTCTTTTAATGATGGTAAAATTGAATCTAATTCAATTGTTCTAGTTGTTTTACCAGTTGATTGAAATCTTTTAATTAATGATTCAAGGTTTGGTTGGATTTGTAACTGAGTTTGATAAATTTGTTTTAGATTTGTATTTTTTTGAATAGAAATATCGTTGGAAATTCCTTGAGATGTTAAAAATCTTTTTTCAATACTTGAATTTTCTTTAAAATCCCCTTTACGATCATGAATTTCATCAAGTGTATTTTCTGACATATATTCTCTTGCGGTCAAATTAATTGTATCCCTATCAATCTCCACGATCAAAAAATAATCTATCATCAAAAAGGAATCAATGAGAGAAGGTATCAAATTTATCATAAAAATAAAAAATAAATGAATTGCAAATTGTATAATATACCTCCATATTTTAATACACCCTTATTTTCGGATAAGCAATTCAATGCAATAGCTTTTCCTTTGAAAATAAATGATGAATATTTTATATTAGAATACCATCAAATTATTCAATTAAAGAAGTCATTATAAAATTTAAATGCACCTCTCGAAATAAATTGAATATTCTCTTTATTATCACAAAGCAATCGATTTTCAAGTAGACATTGACTTAAAATGTTGCAATATGTTGGCCCCTATAATAAGAAGGAAAAAAAGTTATATTAGGAATCGAGTGTTCTTTTTTTTTTCTTTTGTTACATACCCATTTATCTGGCACAATGAATACAACACCGGTTTCTTGAGAGGGCTTAACTCCAGTCCAATTTTCTTGTATGGTAGAAACAATAACCTAGAGGAATGATTTTTACAATTTTATTAAAATTTTAAAATTAAAGCAACTTTGAAAGGTATCCTTAATACCTTTTGTATCTCACTTAAATAATCGCTAATTAACTTTTTTCGAGAGAGTTCAGGTGGTAACCAATTGTCTTCTTGTTCACTATTAAACACTTGAAAGGTACAAATTTCTCTTGGAAATTCCGAGTCTTCATTCGGATTATCAGGATCGTTTTTTAATTGTTGTAAAACTGGTGTGCCCCATCTTATTATTTTTGTATAGTCATCATTATATTCGATTATTGCTGGTGATCTAATAATTCCTTTTTCTTGTCCTTCCCTAAATACAAATCTAACCATGTGAGGAAATTTGAAAGGAAATTTATTAAAATCAGAAATGTTTACTATAAGAAACTACCATTGTTCGAAAACTATTGTCGATTGTAAGAATGAATGCTTTAAAGAATGGGCGAAACCTAAAATCAAAATAAAAAATAAATAAATAAACAAAATTTCAAATAATCCAAAAAAAAAACAAATGGAAGGGACCCCCCTTACAGGTGAATTCGGTTCCGATATCTAATCAACGTTTATAAATATAGGTGAAATTTGAATTTCAAATATACTCGTGAAAATAAAAATAAAAATAAAAAATATCCATTAAAATCCTACCTATAGCAACAACGACTTTTTGAAACATATTTCTAAAAGAAATCTTTTCAAAGTGTTTATTTTACATTTAGCCAAATTTATAAAAACGTTTTTTTGTACTAATTTCGTGCGACACCTTTTTTTATTGATGCATGAAGTTGTTGTTCAAATGATTAGTTATTATAAAATTGAGAATTTTTTGTTAAAAAAAAAAATATTTTTGTTTTTTTTTTATTTTATTTTATTTATTTATTGAATATCTTTGTTAAGGGGTTGGGTTAGGGTTGGGTTCGATCACGATTTTTTGGTTCGAATTAACGACAAGAGTCATGAGGCACGTGATCACAAAATATCGGTGCTACCAAATTTTAAATGTAAAGTGGTATAAATTTTTTATTATATACAGATTTCGATCCATAATCTTAATCGTTAAAAAGGCAATTTGAAAACATTTTTTAGTCATTATATTTAAAATAAAATATAAATCAATTTCCTAGGGAGATCTAACTATCCTATACATTTTCTACTAAAAGGAAGGTGGAATTAAGGATTTGATCCATGGACTTCTTTGATTACTTGATAAACTTCGAGCTCTTCTACGAGGAATGGAGCTTGTATGTCTCTGATATGAACGGTATAAGCATTACCTTTACAAATAGATCCATATTCTCTGCCAAAATCTCCCTTAAGATACAAAGCACCATTAAAAGAAGGACCATGGTTAGGGATATTTCCAACCATACCCGAACTGCCTGGTCTAGGTCTACCTATAATTGACTTATTAGCTTGCTTATTTAATTTAAATACAAAACATTCATTTGTCCTAAAATATGTACTATCAGGATACAATGATTGATCCCAACTAATAGGATTATATCCACCGATTATTTCCGTTGAACCACGAATTTTTATAATGGATAGCGTTGGTCCCTTATTATCGCATAATTCATGAAATTTGCCTGCAGTAAGTCCACTTTCGCTTCCTCTTAATATTAAAGAGAAATTATAACAAATATCTGAATTAGATGATATATTTGTGGTTTCATTTATCCATTTTGTAAACAATCGGAAATGATCTAAATCTAATATTGAATTTAATCTAATATTAAATATCGGTTCCGGTCTATCTTTTTGTGGTGAAGAAGCTGTAGATGTAGGAGATGATGTAGGCTGTGATGTAAATTTTGAATCCAAATTTTTGGAGGATACTATGTGATATTTGAGGATATCTTCAAAAAGCGGTTTTTCGATAATTTTCTTAAATGGTTTAACTTTCTCATAAAAGTCTTCTGGTTTGATCTTATAAAAGTCAATTAATGGAATAAATTGCTTAAGAGTATTTGACAAATCTCTAAATTTATCTCTCGTCCACAATGTAACATCCGCCGTCTCTTTAAAATTTTCAGCAGCGGGTGGTGGAGAAGCTGAGCTTCCAGTATCCACAAAGGTCCGAGAAATCCCCCATTTGATGATGAATTCCCATTTCTCTATTTCTTCAACTTTTAATTTTTCATTTTGTAAAAGAACGAGTAACGTATTCTCATCTAATAAATGAAAATCTTCTGATTTAAAAATGATTTCTGGAGAACTTTCAATGGTTTTTAAACAAAATTCGTGAAGTTTTTTAAATGATTCATGAGATGAAGATATTTGTAGGGTGGTACTAAAATTTTGATAAATTTGCCTTGGTGATTTTAAAAATTGATTTTGTAATACGTCCAGTAATTCGGAAACATTCAATTCCTTGGTTATTAAAAAGAATTCAAACATCTCTTTAGAATTCTTCTCATCGAATTCTAGCTTACCACCATAAAAATATCTATACACACATAATTATGTATATATATATATGTATATATATATAAAAAAAGGAAAAGAGAAAAATTATTTCAATTAAATCTGGTTAATAAACCTCACCCTCACCGCAAACCAAATATAATCACCTGAGGATTTTATCAAATAATTTTGGATTAATATCAGGCTTTTCAATAATGATTTTATTATCGGCATTCTTTTCTTTAACCCCCTCTAATTCTTTACGAAAGTAAATCGAACGAATTAAAAGTACGAACGAATGCGCATAAAATTCTTCAACGCTCCCTTCTCTCCCTGCTCGAATTATAACGTCAGCACATTCTTTTCCGTTTTCATAAAATGAAACATAATCCTTGGATAGTTTTGTAGAGAAACTATATGTTACCATTGTCAAAATGTAAAAAGCAAGTATAAAATACAGTAAATAAGTTCCCCAATTTATTTATTTTGAACTGCAAAATTATCACGTGTTAACGTAATATTCCCGATCTGTGTACGTGTAACATCTCGTTTGATCGCGCGCTTCTTATCCTTATACAATAAGGGGGAAAAAAGCCATTATTTGGGTCAATGGACCAGCAAAAAGGACCTCCGAGACCCTCCGTCAAATTTTTTTTTTTTTTTTGATTTATATAAGCCGAACATACAGTACTGTTGTATTCAGTTCTTTCGTTTATAAACAATTTGTAATGTAAGCAGAAGGTTTTTAATGAATAATTATTGAATAAAAGTGAAGTAATTGTGACAAGTATTTATTTAATAAATATCAAATAAATCAGTGTTGTCTCAACATCGGCGCTCTACACTTTCTTTATATCAATATTTTAAACTCTATAAATGCCAAATTCTAAATCCTAATTAATTAAAACTGCGCAAATTACGAAATTGTTACATAAAAATTGAATAATATACTAATAAAATCGGAAAATTAAAATAAAAATAATAAACGCGAAATTATAAAATTAAAAGGGCGAAAATTGAAAATATCGCGAAGGTGTAAAAGGAGGATTGCGAAAGGAATGATTTCAAAGAATATGTTAAAGGCGAGCATGGGATATTGAACTGTTTTAGGATTTCCGACTCGATATATATAAAAGAATTTTAATTAAGCCAGCCTTGGCATTTTGACCATTTGTCATACTGGCACCTTGACAAATTGGCGCTATGAATCCTGACCTAGCAAATGATCGTCAAAGGGACTAACTATAATTATCAAGAACGATTACCAAGCGAAGTTATGAAGATTTCAGCTGGAATTACATTTAATCGTAACAAATAATTAACTATATAATAATCTACTTTTTTAATCATACAAGTATAATAAATTACCGAAATATCCAAATAAGTTTTTTTGAAAAATTAAAATTGGACATTTTTCTAAAAATAAACCGTAAACAATAATGTAATTTTATGACGACCAAAATTTTCAATTCGCATTTTCTCAAAAAGTGAGATATTCCTCGGAGGTACATTTTTCTAGTTCATAATCCATTTGCTACTCTTTAAAAAAACCAAGGTTAATTTATATAAATATAATAAGTTATTACAAGTGATAACATCTTTAGAATATCATGTTGAATTTACTTCAAAAATCAAAAATTTGAGAAAATTATAAAAGTAAAAGAGAGAAAACTTAAGTAGCTAAAAAATAATGTTACATTTAAGCAATAATTCTAAAAAAAGAAAATAAGAGATTTTAGAGAAGAAATATATAATAAAGATATATAATATATCAGATTAGCTATTATATTTGATGAATGATTCTAACCTTTTAAAAAAAAATGCATTGTAGTATTAAGTTCAGAGCTGCTAATTATAAAGGTATAAGGAGGTAATAAAGTATGAATAATTCAGCATCTTGTGAATAATTAAATTGTAAGTATAAAATTATTTTTAAACATTTAAAAAACTTAAAATATTTTGATATCTAATAATTATAAAAAAAAATAAAATAAAATTTTCAGATTTATTATATTATAATGTATCTAATGATAGTATTTTTAAATTTTTCAATTTTTTAATTTTTAAAAATAATTTATTATCTAATAATTACAAAAATATTTTCTGCTGATCTTTTCATCTAAATATCTTCAACAAGGAGAAAAAATACGTATAGAAAAAAACACAACAAAACTGTTTCAAACACTTCAAATAACAATAAAGAATCTAGTACCTCATCTTTCAATGATAATGGAAAAAAACAAGAGTGACAAAAATATTACTAAAATCACAAAAAGACAAAAAATAGAGACCCTAAAACTTAATATTACTCCAAATAGTGTAGAAGCTTCAAATACTACTTAATCAATACCAACTACTATATAAATTACCTCTCTTACTCCTATATTAAACTTCATTATTGAAGACTTAGAAGTATACGAAATGGAAATAGATATTGCTAAAAAACTTCTCTTTTCTCTTCGTAAGGCTCTAGCACAAATAATTTTATTTATGCAAAGAACGTAACTGAGATTACTGAACTGTCTTCATTTACTTCTATCATTAATAAATAACTTTCTTAGGCTGACCAAGTGAAAAATAATATAAATGAACTTAACTAATTACATGACTTTAACACAAAAGATACCTCCTTCAATATAATTACCTCTCTAATACATTTTTTTGCATCTGATAGTATTGTAAACATAACAAATAAATCTATTGCTAATAAACATAACTTTATTAATATATTTTTTATTAACTTTCTGGCTATTATAGAGTTTTATATAATTTTAAATTAAGAAAAATCTTTGTTTATTTTTACTCTATTGATCAACTTACATATACAGTTACAAAAGTTTAAGAGACGTAATACAACTTTGTATTTGTAGTTGCTGATCTATCTGCTAAGAAATAAAGAATCCATGCTAAAAAGAAGATGCATTAGAGTAAAATTTAAACTAGTATACAAAAATTTCAGATTTACCAGATTTTTATTTTAAAATCTGAAATTTTATTATAAAACTAGATATTATTCAGAATTGAAAAATTTAAATTTGTTTAGATTTTATTGACTGAAATTTTTTTCAGGCTGAATCATATGTAACATATCAATTTTACGTAATATGCAAAAAAATAAAAATGACACCGTCAAATGAAACTTTTTTCACAATATAATAAAAGCTGTTTTTTGATATCTTTCAAGCAAGAAATATGATAACAGACCATATTATAATTCTGAAGATAGAGAGTGCTCTTAGAAAACTAACCAAAGAATTTACAAGATCAATTTCAAATGATTATTCTCTAAAATTAAGAATTATAAAAGTTATTTAGAAGAATATATGATAAAAAAGAAATATTAATTCCAAAAACTGAAAATTTTTAAAAAAAAAAACTAGAAATACTTAAGATATAATAACAAATAGCAAAAAAATCAAATAAAAAGGTTGTCACAAGACTTAAAGTAATGCAGCTAAAATCTATTCTTTAACGAAGAAATAATTAGCAGTTATAATAAAATAATGATCTTAAGCATATCAGTTGCGTTACTAAAAATTTCTTAATATTAATATCTCATATTAATTTGCAAAATTTCTTTCAGAAAGTCTTTCTTATTATTACTAATTTTATTAGTACATACTTTTTCCTAAGGTAAGGATTCTTGATATGATGATTTATTCGTATTTAATATTTAAGTATATTATTTACAGAAAGTTCATACCAGTATTTGTAGTTAGCGTAGTAGTCATTTATTATACAATAAGTTATTTTCTGATTATATTTATAATCTTTCATAAATACGTTAATTATTGATTATTTTTAAAAGATTAAGCAATGATATACTTTATCTAATTCAATATTCACGAAAAATTTTTATTTGTTGACAAAAAATTGATGATTCACATGCAGATATTTAATTTTTTTTTAGATAACATTAATTACTAAATTGCTATATAAAGAAAATTTTTCTAAATATAGGCAGAAAAAAAGTAATGTGTTAATGATCTTCTTTTATTGAAAAATCTGCTAAGAGAATATCGCTTAACCTGCAGTATTTAAATAAAGGTAGTTTTAATTGTAGTATAAAAAATTACAATAAATAACAGGTTTTAAGGTAATTTTTTTTTGATTTTATAATTACTTGTTTATAAATACCTTCACTAAGATCATTTATAAATTAATAATTCTGATCAATATTATATTATTAAACTATATCAGAATTTTTTTATAGATAATTATAATTCGTATAACTTGATAATCAATAACTTTCTTTATATATAATGTCTTTATTAAATTTTTTTAAGAAGATTGAAGATAAAGTAAAATTAGTTTCTTTTGAAGTTAAATAGTAAATATTTAGTTTAAATTTTAAAAGTATAATTAAGTTTACTTTTATCATTAATTCAATTAATTTAACTTTATTTTAATTCTTTAGTGATATTTCTGATGATAATTTACAACAAAATTCAACTGAAACAAATAATTTTAGTAATGAAAAGGTTGAAAAATATGTAGTTTTTTCACCTAAGAATAATAAATTAAAAGCTAAAGCTCTTATTTTATTTTGTCATATTAATAATTTTAAAAAAAAAGTTAGATTTTAAAGAAAAATATATAATACATATTATTCTTTTTAGAAGGATCAATATTCTTGAATACTTTATGATATAAATAAAAATAGAATGTTTTGTACATTATATATAACTCTAGAGATATGCTCTAAATCTGATCAATTCAGATATCTAGTCATCCATTTGAAATTTGATCAGATTCAGATTGATCCATTTGTATCACAGGATTGACCGGATAGAAATTAGATTTTCTGATCAATCTGATAATGTGTTTCAAAATACGAGGCCCCTGATCATTTCCATTTTTGGAAACTGAATTACATAGATTACACAAAATTTTAAAACCACAAAAATTAAAAAACAGGAAATAAATTTTTTGTGAAATGGTAATCGCTAAAAAAAGAAATAATCAGCATTATAATTACATAAAGCGTTAGGAATACAGAAATTTAAAAATAGAAATTTTTTTTTGTGAAACAGCTATCATCAGAAAAAAAAATTGATTGATATACCCGCATGTAGTAATGTATATTTTTGATGTCCTAGAAATTTGTTATCTCAGCTATATATTCCAGTTATATGTCCTAACCTGTCTCACACTAATGTTCCAAATGTCCTATTTGTCCCATTTATGTCCCATCAATATTTCATGACAATACTACCTGCGTGTCTAAAAATTAAAAATCATGTAATTTTTCGTAATTTTCATAATTTTACCTAAAATTTATAATTCCAGCTAGAATTATGAAAATTAACCAGATTATATTAGATAATCTAAAATCTGATGAATAGAAATTTGGATGATCTGAAATTTGATCAGATTGGATGACAGATTGATCAGATTTCACTGAAGCTGACCTCTATGACTCATGGT